GTTTGTTTAGTGATGAGCCACTGTCAGAACACACAAATGTATCTCAGATGTGTTTGTTTAGTGATGAGCCACTGTCAGAACACACAAATGTTTATCAGATGTGTTTGTTTAGTGATGAGCCACTGCTGGAACACACAAATGTATCTCAGATGTGTTTGTTTAGTGATGAGCCACTGTCAGAACACACAAATGTCTCTCAGATGTGTTTGTTTAGTGATGAGCCACTGCCAGAACACATAAATGATTTCAGATGTGTTTGATAGTGATGACACACTGCAAGAACACACAAATGTTTATCAGATGTGTTTGTTTAGTAATGAGCCAATGTCAGAACACATAGATGATCTCAGATGTGTTTATTTAGTGATGAGCCACTGCCAGAATGATCTCAGATGTGTTTGTTTAGTGATGAGTCACTGCCAGAACACAAAAATATATCTCAGATGTGTTTGTTTAGTGATGAGTCACTGCCAGAACACACAAATGTATCTCAGATGTGTTTGTTTAGTGATGAGCCACTGCCAGAACACACAAATGTATCTCTCACAAATGTGCCTTCATTATCACCATTATCCGTTTAAAAAAAAGTGAGGGGGGGGGGAACTTTTGGTTATAACTGTGACAGGTTATTTGAGCTACTAAATATTTCTAGTAACCCTGAAAAAGGTTCTTGCAGTGTTGTTGTAATCAAAGGAGACAGACCCAAATACTGCCCCCCGACCCACGACCTAATCTTTCGGCAAGTCAATAGACGACCCGGTCGCTGATGCTCACCCTCCCCCCACACGAAAAAAAGTGGTCAATACACTCAGCAAAGGCAGTTTTTTGGGTTTATCTATTCAGTGTCACATCAAATGTTTGTAGTAAACAAGTCAGGAAACCTGTGAAAATTAGGGCAGTCGTTTCATTAGCTTAAGTGTTTCATAAGGGAACCACGACAGTATAGTGGCTAGCATGCTTGTCTCTTAGTATGGTGGTCACAGGTTTCAGTTCACAATCAAGGCAGCTTCTAACAAGTAACCTCGACTTCCATGCTAACCCAGCCTAAAATATGAACCAGGAAGTGTGTTAGAAAGTGAAGACAACCAGTGTTAAATCAACCACATCCAAGGGACAACCAGTGTTAAATCAACCACATCACTATCCAAGTGAGGGTCTATAAAAACTGGGGCTTGCACCATGCACTCAATATACCTACAGATTTGGAAATGGGTCAGCAATATCAAGCTCAAATACTTCAACAAGGTTGCTGGAGAAAAGAAAAAGAAAAAGAAGCAGCAGAAGAAGAAGTTTCAACTATGACTCCATGTTCACGACAAGTCACAGAAATGTAGTAACATAATTAAGTTTGCCAAATCAAAAAAAAGAGGTATTGGCTCATTGAAGCTAGAATAATTTGTCAGGTAAAAGTGCCAGCAGATTACAAAATCGTATTCAAGCTTTCACAAACAGATTACAGATGACTTTTTATAGTGACTACAAACAGTTGTTCATTCAGCATCAATCAAAACATCATTGGTTGCTCCTATGAGGATATGCTTTCTTAACCCCTTGCAGCCCATTCAGTTGTCCCATAAACTCACTCTAATCAAACTGTTACTTTAACCACCCTCTATTATAATGTTATTTAAACATCTTACTCAAGCGTTAGCATAAGCATGTGCTACACCAGAACATTTCAATCATTATTTTGCCTCAGTTAACAGAGCAGGTAAGCTGTCAGAACTCAATAGAACACAGCTCTCTCAGTTGAAGAAACAAGAGAGAGCTCCAACAGCCAGCGACTCCCTTTTTGAAAATGAATTTAGCATGGACGAATTAGAGCAAGCCCTGAAGAAATTAAAACCTAGAAAATCTCCAGGCCCAGATAAGATCCACAACGAAATGCTGCTACATCTTGGCCGGTCTGGGAGAGAAGTAGTTCTCAGGCTTATTAATAAAACTTGGAGGTCAAGCAAACTTCCAAGGGCATGGAGGAATGCATATATCGTCCCCATCCTTAAAAACCAAAAAGCCTCCAGATGACCCCAAAAGCTACCGCCCGATATCCTTAACATCATGCTTGGGCAAAGTTGCAGAAAGAATGATAAACAGGCGCTTATATTGGTTCCTTGAGAGTTCTGGTGTTCTATGCCATGAACAGGCAGGCTTCAGAACCAACAGCTGCACAGAAGACCAGCTGTTCAGACTGACACAAAGAATACATGATGGCTTCCAGAATAAGAAACACACAGTGGCAGTCTTTGTCGACCTCCAGCAGGCCTATGACAGAGTATGGAGAAAAGGTCTCCTGATGAAGATGATGAGCATAGGAATACATGGCAGATTGTATAACTGGGTGAAATACTTCCTGATAGATAGAACAATCCAGACTAAGATGCACAACGCAATCTCTTCTAAAGAAGTCTTGGAGGAGGGCTTGCCACAAGGCTCATCATTGAGCTGTACACTATTCCTAATCTTTATCAATGACCTGCCAGAACAAATCAAGGCCGAAAAAGCCTTGTACGCTGATGACCTAGCAATATGGCAGAGTCATGAAAATGTGGAAAGTGGAGCCCAAAGACTGAATGGAGACCTTAGAAGACTGCATGATTACTGCCAAAGATGGAAACTCAAGATTAACTGTGCAAAGACGGTCTACACAATCTTTACCAAAAGCCACCAAGTAGCAAGGAAGAATATTAACCTGAGGTTAGACAAACACCAAGTGATGAAAGAAGAGCATCCCACATACCTTGGAGTCACACTTGACCCGCAGCTCAGCCTCAAGAACCATATTGAAAACATCAGGAATAAGGCATTGAGGCGGTTACAGTTATTAAAGAGACTTGCAGGTACATCATGGGGATCAGACAAGGAAACTCTGAGGGGCTTATACCTAGGATATGTTCGCTCTGTGATAGAGTACAACAACTCACTGCTTACAACTTGCTCCAAAACTAACCTAGAGACTCTTGACAGAGTACAAAATAATGCCCTCCGATTAATCTGCGGAGCTATGCAGTCTACACCAACTGCTGCATGTGAAATCCATACAAATGTGGAACCCCTCGGGTTGCGGAGAGAAAAAGCCACTTTAGAAATTTATGAAAGATGCGTTAGGAAAAATCGTAACCATCCTAATAGACATCCTGTAGAAAACTGGGAACCCAAACAAAGAATAAAGCACAAATCGGTTTTACACTGTGTTAATGAAATTCAGGACAGATACCACCTCCCAGAAAGACGTCAAGGAATTCAGAATGTTGCAAAAAACCTACCACCACATGCTTGCTTTAAAGCTCCAGAAGTCCAAACTAAATTGGTAGGCGAGGAAACCAAACAGTCCGACCCAATCGCTCTTATGAACTCATCACTAAAGACCGTTGATTCTTACCCCCAAGAATGGATACATGTCTATACTGATGGATCAGCATTTAAAGCTACCATTAAAGCAGGTTACGGAATCTACATAGGTTATCCCGATGGATCTGTTGAAGAGATTTTTGATGCATGCGGGGAATTCTGTTCAAACTATGAAGCTGAAATAATTGCACTGGAAACAGCAGTATACCACCTAAAGACTGTAATGGATGTTTACCCCTCAAAGGTCCAAAATATTGTCATCTTCACAGATTCAATGTCTGCCCTTCAAGCTCTGGAGGGCAATGAACGCTGCAGAACTGACATAGCCAAGATAATCCTGGATGTCGATCAGCTTATTACCTCATACAACATCAGAATAGTGATGCAGTGGATTCCAGGTCACTCCGGCACACCAGGTAATGACAGAGCTGACAGATTGGCAAAGAAAGGAGCAACACAAGAACAACCACCTACAGCGACAACCCTCCAGACAGCAAAAAACACTGATAAGAGCTATAAACAAAGAGACTTGGTTGAACAGATGGGCCATGGGAGACACTGGAAGAGAGGTTTATAGACATATGTCTGGCCCTGATCCTAATGACAGCATTAACCATCTAACAAGAAGGGACCAGGCCACCATCTTCAGACTTAGAACGCAACATACTCCACTCAATGGACACCTAAACAGAATACAGCCACAACACTCCCCAGAGTGCCAGCTATGTAACTACCCCTACGAAACTGTTGAACACCATCTCTTTGAGTGCCCAAAACTCAGTGAGACAAGAAGAACGCTACTCCCTCCGAGACCAGACAAGTGGAACACCTTGTACGGAGGAAAAGAACAGCTTGTGAAAACATGCAAATTCCACTACATGGCATTGGGCCAAAGGGCGAAAGCTCATGCGCCGCTGGATCGATAACAACAACAACAACTACACCAATAAGTGTAGATGGTCATGGTTTACCATCTCGCAAGATCACCAGAATCAGACATCAGGTCAGTGCTCTTGTCCCCTCCAAGTGATCCAGGTTGCTTAGCTTCCAGTTGCTGCTCTTTTCCTATACAGTTTGTCAATTATCATCAAGTTTCTGCATTTATACAATTTCCAGAATATGTTTCATGAAAAAAAAAACCTTCACTGTCTGCTGACAGTAACTAATGCTTATAATAGAATGTGCTAAAATAACATTGGGAATACAAGATTTAAAATAGAGAAGCACTACTGTATTCCGGGGGCAGCCGTGGTCTAGCGGCTAGACGCTCGGCTGCGGATCGTGGGTTCAGTTCCTGAAGGGAGAACCGACTTTTTTTCTTCAAAAATTACCTTGGCTCCCTTAAGTGGGTACCAGGTGCAGTCATAGAAAGTAAAGGCGGCCGGCGTGATGCTGACCACATCACCCACCAAGTGTCGTTTGGTCTACACAAAATTAGTCTAGCCCTATATGCCCAATACGCCTGAAAGGCGTGGAGAAGGGTCCTTTACCTACTACTGTAATCCAATGATTATGTTTAAGCCATTTCTTTTTTATTGCTGGTAAGGTTTTATATAGCGTCTTCTCACACACATGATCACAACTTTGACATCATTCAGGTGCATTTAAAAAAACAATGAGACAATACTATAAATTTCTTCTCTGGAACAGTATCAAGAGGCTGGAACTGCCACCTTCTTGATCTTCTTGGCTTCTGGTTGCAGCTCTTTATCTGTGGTAAATGAGGGCAAAATATAATGAATATACAAGACAACCAACCATATTTACAAGGTACAGGTCACAGTATTTTAACCAACAATCTATTAAAATATTGTGCGCCTTGTATTCAAAGTATTAGGTCTACATGTGACTTGTACAAAATTTATTATTAATCAGTCCAACAACTGTTCTGTCATCCACCCTGTCTATTGCACTCCTACCAATATTCCAGGTGATCCATCTCCTTAGGCATGGATTTACGTGTTTAAATGATGTAAGGTTGGAGTTTGTGTCCGTCAGCAATGACACCTGTCATTATGGTACATACACTGCCGTTTTTCTGCTCCTGAATTTCACATTCTATTCCCCTCCCCTAAATGATGGGACTCAGGAACCGGCACTGCAATAGTGGAATATAGTCAAAAGACTTTGATGACCACAGTATGGTGCCAACAGCAGTCATGAATTACCGTGCTATTTTTGTCCAGAACGGGTCTGTGTGGTCTCAAGGCATGGTGTGCGCCTCAAGTGCTAGAGGTTCCGGGTTCAATCCCCGGTAAGGGCTGGGATTTTTTCATGTGGACTTGTAGTAATTCCCCCTGGTCTTTGGGTAGTGAGATCGGACAGCCGTGAGCAATGTTGCGCACGTAAAAAATCCCTTGGCAGTTGGAAATCGAAAAGAGTAGCCTAACGGTGCTGCCTGGGCAAAATTTTGAGTTAAAAATTTACCCAAAGTATTTCAGGATCCTCGCTGATGCCTCAGAGCCTGTGCACCATGACAAAAAGGCTGTCAAGAATGATTTTTCATTGTCTTCCCATGTCTCTTTTATCAGAGATCTTTCCCGTGGTCATCACAGGTTCCATTTTTCTTTTTCTCATAACATGACAAAAAATGACGACTGTCAATTTTTGTTGTTTGTGATAAGTTTCTTCAAGCCTCGCACACTTCCAAAACATCTGGGTTGCTCTTTTTGGCTGTCCAAGGAATTTGAAGGATTCTTCTGTAGAACCACACCTCAGAAATTGTTTGGCTTGTTTATTAACTGTCCAGGATGGTGCATTAATGAAGAGAGTTTAAAACAAACAAAGAAAAAAAGGACTGCTCCAATTGTACACTTTACAAACATTCTGCCTCTTCTTTTCCAAGGGAAGACTGGATTGCAGCCATTTTACACGGTTTTACTATCCGTTGCAAATTTTTTGACTTGAATAAGATTACACTTTATTTCTACTGTATACATTTACTGATCATTTGTATTCTATATTGACTGAAAACACTAAAAATTAATGAAGATTTATAAGACTTAGGATACTTAGCACCATTCCATCCCTCCTTAATTGCTCTTGCAAGTGGCAATACAAGCTTCTGAGGCTACACTCAAATTTTTATAGACAAATCAGCTGTTGATGTGTGATGTAGTCATCTTTATGCCAGCCATCTTTATCTCCAGGGTTTTATCTGATACCTATTTAAGGCTGGGTTGACCTAGAAGCCAAGGTCATGTCTGAAAAAATTCCAGCTTTGGTAGTATATTAATTTAATATATTTAGTCTCTCTCAAGGGTCCTGGTAACAAACATGTAACATAATTTCTTACCTCCAATTAATCCAGTTGGCACATCTGGCAATACAATACTCTCCTCATCTTCGGTTTGCTGCTGTAAAAAAAAAAAAGAAAATATGTTTGATACAAAAACAGTGGAACTCAATAGCTGCTGACAATGCTCAGCAACATCTAGGGCTACTCAACAACGTTTACACATAGGCCAAAATTGTGAAAATGTGGATCATTATGGGTTAGAGGCTTAAGCCCCAGGGTAGAAAGATCATTAATGCCATACAACTGCCAATTATCTAGGGGTCACTTGCTAGGCCTCTTCAGGAACAGCCCTGATCGAGAGGAATAAAAGATAGCAACAACAGCAGTCTTGAGCTATGGAGTAGGTAAGCAGAGCCAATGTCTTTAAATGTTTGGGTACCTAGATAACAAATGACCGATGAGTTAAATAAAGATGTGAAATGCAGAACAGTCTAAGTAAAAGTAGTTTTCGATAAGATGAAAAATACTCTGCAAAATGTCTTTGTTGAATCGCAGCAATGTGTCCCTGCAACTTGGCACCAGAAATACTGAGCATGTACTCCAACACTGTCTACAGTTTACTTGCAACAGAGAAGCAGCCTGGCCTGTTCCAACCTCAATGGAGATAAAGCTGCATGGTACACTGGGAGATCTGGGCTGCACTCCAGCTTTCATCAATGTTATCGGCCTCCTGGTATACATTTTCTGAGAGAAAGATCTAAGATTGAGGTGAGAAAGAGAGTTCTCTAAAGATACTGAGCCCATGCTGGCAGTGTACAGAAGTGAATTACTGAGCAGCATATATTTTTAGAAAGTTTGCGGAAACCATGGAGATGTAAATTTATAGAAAAATTGTCTTCTAATAAATCTATTTCTTATTTATTTCTAAAATATCTACTCTTGTCTTGACACTTATTTCTAAAATATCTACTCTTGTCTTGACACTTATTTGTTAGATTTTTCAAAAATATCTACTTGTTATTTATTTCAGAATTATCTACTCTTGCCTTGTCCCTTATTTCTAAAATAACTACCCTTGCCTTGTTACTTATATCTAAAATATCTCGTCACTTATTTTTAAAAATGTACTCATGTCACATTACTTATTTCTAAAATATCTTCTCTTATCTTGTTACTTATTGCTAAAATATCTTCTCTTATCTTGTTACTTATTTCTAAAATATCTAACCTTGTCTCAAATCTTATTTTTCAAATTTATTCCCTTGTCTCATAACTTATGTGGTTGCAGGATGTAATGTTGTGAATTCCCGGGGAAATCCGAGAGAGTTCCCGATTGGGGGACAAGGTCAGAAGACCAGTGAAACAAGAGGAAAATGAGATAAGCAGGTCTCCAGTATACTGTGGTGAGTGAATTAGGGATACGAGAAAAGCGTGAGACTCTTAACGGAAGATGTGAACCCAGAGAGGGTAGGAAGGCAGTCGAAATTCGGACCTGGATGTGTGCGGTTGTGTGCGAGAGAACAGCTGATGAGAATGGAGAACCTATGACCACGTGTACTAGTTCGAGAGCAGAAATGAATGTTTCCTGATTGCCAGTTTCATCATGTACAAATACCAGGTACAATACCTTAGTAAGATACAGATGTATGATCGAAAAGATATGAGCGGAGAGAATCAGCATGTGAGATAAATGGCAAGGTCATCAAGAATCAGCCATGCATATCGATCACGAGAATGCCAGGAGCGTGTGGTCAGCGAGATTGTGGTAACAGCGAATAAAGATCAATAACTGAACGTTCGTCGTCTGGTGTGTTCTAGCAACTGTGTGTACGTCAATATAGCAATGTGAGGAATTGATTCAAACCCCTAGCAGAGCACACTGAACAAGATCATTCCAATGTTGCAGGGGTATCATGTTTTCCTTATTGTCAAAGCTTTAACCGTTCTTTTTCTCTCTCACCGCTCACTTGCAGATTACTTTCACGTTCCTGTGTGATGTTTTTGGACTTTGGAAACAATATTTTTATACTCCTACTCCCTTGTAAATGCTTCTTTTTCTCGGCGGGGGAGGGGGGGGGGAAGAGAGGAACCGTCAATGAATGTAGAAATACAAAAATATCAAAGTTTTTTATGCTCAAGAATCATCGTGCTTGTGGCGCTTTCCCTGCAGTACTTCTTACTTGTACACAGGTGCCTGAAATAGACTCACAACTACACAACCTCCCACAAACATTATATATGCAGAGCAAATGCCAAACCAAACCATATCATAACAACCCCGCAACACAGAAGAGGTCCTGCGACCCGACTAGACATGAATGGCAAGAGAAGTCACTCTTTCTGTGCCAGAAAACGTAAAATGAACCACTAAAACAAAGCAGTAACTGACCTTGACAACAACTCTTTACTATCAAAACAAAGCAGTAACTGACCTTGACAATCTCATCCAGTTCTGCTAGGACATCACTTTCGTCTTCAGCACTCAAACCTCCAGACAGCAACTCATCAATTTCCTAAAAAAGACACAATAAAATTCTTTCATGCAGCATGTGGGATGCCAGCTATGTATTTTTCTTCTTTGTTTATCGGCTATAAGCTCAGGTGGAAAGTCCTGACTATTTGTCCATCTGAACTTTAGTTTGTGCCAGGGCTTGAGTTTTGCGTGTACATCCATTTTCTGGCTTACTTGTGTGCAGTTGGTTCCCTGCCACGTAGGCAAATGAACTACAAAGGAAACTATGTATTGAAATAAAGATAAACTCATCAGTACCAAGCATCTCACTTTTTGTCTGGTTTTTTAAATTTTTGTATTAACCTTTCTGAAAACTTTGCAAGCCATCTAGTTGTTACATTACCTACTCAGCACCAATTCTTACTTTACCTCTTGTTATCTTACAGCACTGTTATTTTAACTCCTCACTCTCAGACACTGACTTATACCAGGTGGCGTAAAGTAGCAAAGGGGTCTGACATAACAAATTTAAAATTCAAAGATTTCTGTTATTTCCCTTTCAGATGTGGGGAAGCACACATCTGTGAGATTAGATCTGGAATGTTACACCACTATTGAAGAATGAAAACCACATAACGTGTTAAGGGAGATTTTTTGTGACTATGTAATTTCAAGAAATTCAGCATTCAATTAACCCTATTATTTGCCAGGCCCTGATTATTTCCCGAGAGACTATAAAGATACAGTTTATGTGAATATATCCACAGTGTAAGAAGATTGTTCAAGTCAAAGTACGGCTGTTAACACCAGATACCACGAATAACCCAGACATGTGAGGTACATGACTACACGTATACATGACTACGTTCTGTCTACAGCACACAAAACTCTCCATACACTGCACAATAGCCTTTCCAGAAAATATAATTTCTAATAAAAAAAATAAAAAAAAACTTCTTTTCATCGAAGGAGTATTATTTCAAACCGTTTTGCTACATCTGCACTGCCCTAGAGAAATTATATCTTAAAATAGAATGAGTGGTATATAAATTTGAATATACTATTCTCCCCCCCCTCCCCCTCCTGTCTCTCTCTTCTTCTTCTTTTCTCTACTCCTGGAATGCCTCGCAGTGTCAGGGGAGGAAGAAATTTCTAGAACAGGCCCTTCTGTTCGCTTCGTATATAGTACTTTTCAGTGTCTCTGATATTTCTGAGGTCCATATTTTGCATGGTCAACCTCTTGGTCTGTTACCACTGTATCTGTATAACATTGCTCTCTGTGGTACCCTGTCTACTGTAAATATTGTTACATCACCAAACCATTTGATTTGTTGTCTTCATATAAAGTTCATTATTGGTTCTGTGCCGATTTTCCTCCTGATATCATCTTTCGATCTTTCCCCGTTACACCTAGCATAGTACACAAAAAATTTTTTCTTATGTGACTATATTCCTTCTGTCTTCTGAAGACAGTGTCCATGTTTGACACTGATAGCAGAGCCATTTGGCATCTCTCTCTCTCTATATATATATATATATACACATACACACAAACATTTATATATATATATATATATACTACACACACACAGCTTTTTTGCTGGTGGTATGCAACACTGGCACCTTCTTGCAGGCATCACTTTTTTTAGTGTTACACTTTGTGAGTACCAACACGTTTTTATTTACAGAAAAAAAGACTCATAGATCTATACATCTACAAACATATAATCTAAAACTATGAAATGAAGTGATCAGTTCCCTTCCTCATTGACTTTCCTTCTCCGACTGGCATCTCCTTTTCATTTTTTTAAGGCGGTGTGAATATACTGGTCCAAATCATTCTATCTCTACTGAGGATTAGACCGGAACTGCTGACTGAGCACAATGACATGTCAGGGAAGAATATACGATCGACATGTAGCAAGTCTTTTAGAAACTGTTGCTCACATCTTAGCCTGCCTGAAAGAAACTCGTTCTCTCCCCAGGTCTTCCGCTTCGTGCACTTACCTAGACACATATATTTGGTAAATTCAAGAGAATGAAAAATAAAACTTACTCTCTGCTTTTCAATGCCTTCTTTTGTTTCTTCCATAATCTTTTCCACATCTTCAAGAGAAAGAATCTGTAAAATCCAAAAATATACTCTATGGTGAACTACATGTGAAAAATATAGTTCATAGGACTGCACAAATGATAGTCTTTAACAATTATATAAACAAATGAAACTAATTAAAGAAAAACAATGATACAAGACACAATTTGTGACTGTGCTCTAAACTATTTTACTTTAAAAAAAAAAAAAAAACGGGCATAGTGAAGTGGTCATGACATGAGCATATCCCTCCAGAGTCATGTGTGAGTTTTCAGACTGTTTGTCATAAGTTTTCATGAGTGCAATTTTTCTAGAGATTCCTGGCAATCACTGATAAAGCTACAGAGTTTGCACTTTCTGCTGGCCATACAACACAAACACTCACACAGAGAGATAAAATCACAAGAATTAAAATCCAGTGCATTTTACCTTCCAACCTTTTACATTTAGAGTTTTGCTGTAGGGCGGATAGAACAACCCAGTCGTCCCCAAAGGGTTATGGACAAAACTGACACAGAAAAATAATTTATATTTACAAAAGAAAAATACACAGACAGAAGCTTAAACTATCAACCACTGAAGTAACCTGTTTTATGTGACAGTACCTCATGTATTTTTTTTAATGAAGCATTTCCGATCTGCAAGCCCTTGATGACTTCCTGTTCCACTTGAGTGTATTCTAGGTCATGTACCTGTTAGGGGTACAAAAGAAAGTGAAATATATGATAATAATGTGAACAAACAATTATTAAGAGCTTTTCTAATTAAAATATCCAACATAAACAAAAATAAAACTATTTTAATACTCTTCCAATCTAGAACAAGCTGGCTATTTTCCCAGTGCAGGTTACCGAGCCCTATTTTAAAGCCAAAAAAAAAAAAAAAAAAAACTGTCCCTTAACAAGCACATCCTAAAAAGTGGCTAATTAAAGATCTGATTGAAACTGGATGTGCAGGGATGTGAGGTGAACATATACCAAATGAGCTGTAAACTACAACATAATGTGGCAACTGCTCTTTTAAGAGTGAACAAAGAAGAAGCAGATTATTTTCATAGTAAATGCTTGTGACCACAAATAAAATTTAAACAAAAGATGCCCAGTGCCTTTTTCAATAGACTTAGAAAAAAAAAAAACACCAGGACAATTCAGTTCATTTAAACAAAACAAACTGTCAGCTGAATGAGTGTTACCACTGAGCATGATTTATGTGCTACTTTTAGTTTATTATTTTTTTTTTTTCAGTTCGCTAACAAGCAATATACAACATCCCACCATCTTGTAAGTGATGTACAGCAAACAGGCAGACAAAATTACCAGTCTTTCAATATTCTCCAGCTGCCCGTCAGTTTTGGTTAGTAGACTCTCTTGGAATTTCTTTTTCCTTAGTATCAGCTTTGCTTTTCTGCAATAAAATAAACAAGACAGTTGTATAAGATATCTTCACGGCACAGTGGACACCAGAGAAGATGGCAGGCACTACACTGGACACATCCTCAGAAGAAACCAGCACATTTAACTGGGAAATAAAGGGATTAGGGAAGTGAGGATGCCCAAAATAAACCCTAAGACAAACTTTGAGAGGCCAAAGCTTGTGGACTTCTCTTCTTCTTCTTCATGTTCACCAGCTGTACACTCTGGCGTAAAGTTCTGGTTGTTCGTCCACTTCTGGACTGCAGTCCTGCTCCAGAACCTGAGTGTTGCATGTGCATCAGTTTTACAGATCTGATTCAATTGAATGCAGACTGCTGGTTCCTTGCCTCTCAGGCAAATGCACTCTGACTTCAAAGGAAGCTCCCCAGTTAGTTGACTCTTACGGCATGCTTTTGGGGAGGCAGTGGGTCTATTCTTGTTTTTCCCACAATAGGGCCCTGGAACCCAACCGGGGGGCTGGTGGACTTGATTCTATCCATGATACTGAACTGATTTAACAGGACAGAACAGAATGGACGAATAGATGAGCCCTATGTGACACATAATGACACAACAGGATGATGGATGACACTTCCCAAGATTCTCCTTTCAACCTGCACATCAGTGTCTTTTGGTTAATAGTGATAGTCCTATGTTGGTTAATAGTGCTAGTCCTATGTTGGTTAATAGTGATAGTCCTATGTTGGTTAATAGTGCTAGTCCTATGTTGGTTAATAGTGCTAGTCCTATGTTGGTTAATAGTGCTAGTCCTATGTTGGTTAATAGTGATAGTCCTATGTTGGTTAATAGTGCTAGTCCTATGTTGGTTAATAGTGATAGTCCTATGTTGGTTAATAGTGCTAGTCCTATGTTGGTTAATAGTGCTAGTCCTATGTTGGTTAACAAGACTACTCATACATCCAGTGGGTCTCTTGTGTCTGGCTGTGTAGAGCTTGACTTCCAAATTTTTGTATTCTTAGCAACGATGTGGAGGAACTAACCCAAACATCCTCAGATCATCCCTCTCTCTAAGAGTTTTAACAATATCAGTGCAATTTATAGGTTACTTCCCATCCTTTTTTAGGATGACATTTTTTGAAGCCCTACTCTGGCTCTTGCCAGGGGCCACAATATAGCCCGGACATAAATATGGCCTAATGGCTGAACGCGGTTTATGGGACCTCTCCACGGTGATCCTCATCCACATGGTGGCACATTGTGTCATCAGGTGTTTATCGCTTGTATAATTTCCTGGTGGGGTAGAAAGTCAGTCAGTCAGTGCAATCCACACGCAGGCCTTCTGCAGCTAATGCAATGCCAGCCAAAATATCAGATCTTTCATTGTCAACAACATCTGCATGCTCTGGCACTAAGATGATGGTAACATCAAGCATAGTGGGGCCATGCAGTGACTAATCCACTATTTGCATACAGAGCCTGCCTTGACCAATCAGATCATCCTTATAGAATCACTCAGTATACTCACATGGGAATAACAAAACAGTGTACAATCAGTGTCAAACAGATGAATAAAACACCACCACTCCCTATCTATCTGAGTCAGTAACAGTCAAAACAGACAAAAATTCCACATTCTGACAAAGGTAAAGCAGACTAATCATTTCAAAGACAACTGATCACAAACATCATTTTTTGGGGTCATGTTATGATAAGAAGAAAACTGGAACATGTTGTGACCACCTGGAAAGATCTGTGAAAAAGGAGACAGGGGAAGACAATGCAAGGTGATTTTTAACAGCTTTTTTGTCATGGCATGGAGAGGTGTCAACACACAAACTAATACACACAGTTAAAGATTGCACACTGGAGAGGCATGACCACCCACATGTTGGCAAGATACTTGATAGTGCTATAACCATTCTGTGTGGCATTGGTAATTATGTTTACCCACAGACTTATGATCCAGGAGCTATCAATCATTTCTGATACATATGTTCCTCTGTACCATGATGTCAAAGTGTCTAACATCATTTCTTAAGATCATCCTGTGCCTTAGTTTCTCTTCAACTTTCCTTTTGTCACAATGTTTTTCCTTAATGGGACATACAGTTATTTGTGGTTGTTTATTCTACTTCTTCTTCTTTTGCCTTAAAAAGATAGTTACATGCGGCTTACAGCTAGGCTGTAACACAGGAAACGTTTCGGCCCACACATAAGATTAACAACCCCTTAAATAGACGCCTTTTACAACATGTAAATGTTAAGGGATCTGCAACCCTTCCCCTCCCCACTAAAATAAAAACAAACCCGTTTGGGAAACATTTGTAGTTTCTAACCTTGTTGACTTTAATACAATTACGATGTTTAGCACAGTACACTGATTATTAATGTGTCTCCATACTGCCAACCTGTAAACACACTGGCTACAGGTAACATCAAATGACATCAAGCCTATGGCATCAACCTCTATATTGGCCTGTATCAACCTGTCATATGTGACTCATATTATACGCCATGCCAACCTGTAAACACACTGGCTACAAATAACACCAAATGACATCAAACCTATGGCATATTAGTTTATCAACCTCTGTATCAACCTGTCATATGTGACTCATATTATACGCCCTTTGTCCATTCTCCATGAGTGGCAAGTCTAAAAGAGATGACGTATGTATACAACAGGCCACAGGAGAGGACCTAAATGGTAGAGAAAGCTGTTTATTTTGCACTCTGAAGAGTGTGGGTTAATCTGCATGACAGGTAGTGAACAGCCACTTAGGTAGTGAACAGCCACTCTACAGAGAAAACATAAGGGTTCAATCAACCCTTATTCCCTTAAAAAACAGAACTAACTTACTGCCCCCCTCCCCAAGAAGCATGATCCAAAAGGAGACTGGGGGGGGGGGGGGGGTGTCTGCTGCAATCTGATATATTAGGTAGAAAAGCACAAATATTACAATCTAGCTGTAAACCACAACACAGCATACCAACCTGTCAACACCCGTTTAAAAGTGAATATAGAAGAAGAACAAACCTAGTCCAATGAAGTTTACCCTCTTATTCTTTTTAATTAAGAAAACCAACAACAGCCAACCTTGACGAGCTTTCCAAATCACAGATACATAATTTAACAGTTTGTATACCCACGTACAGAGTCACAGGTAACTACAGAAACAGCTACAGTGATGGTTTATACTTTACTTGTTTACACCAAAACTTACTCTTTCTTTCCATCTTTCAGTAAAGCCCTTGCAACTTCTCTATCACGTTCAAGCTGGACAGTGATTTTCTTTTGATATTGTTTCAGCTTGTCTCTCTGTTGCTTCAGTTGCTGAAGTAAAAATACAGTAAGTAAATTACTAATTTAGCAAAGAAATTGTGCATAATTTTTTTTCTGCTCTTTTAACTTACGTGCTTTCAAACTACTTAGCGAGTTCAGCTGTTAACCAGAAGGATGGTGGTTCACGCCAACCCAGGGACATTTTGGGGGAGGGGCTGCGTGGTCTCGAGGTATGGCATCTGCCTCAAGTGCTGGAGATTTCTGGTTTAAGCCCTGGTGAAAATTAGGATTTTTTTTCATGGACTTCTAGTAATTTCCCCTGGTCTCTGGGTAGTGAGACCGGACGCCCGTGTGCATTGTTGCACATGTAAAAATACATTGGCAGTTGGAAATCAAAGAGAGTTGCCTAACAATAGCGCTGCCCAGGCAATAGTTTGAGTATAAAACGTATCCAAGAAGTATGTCAGGATCCTCAGGCTTGAGTTAGTTAGAATTAGAAGCAGAACCGTTCTGAGAACGGAGTACTTTTTTATGGGTTTACATCCATGTGCCATGATGTTGATCCGTCCACTAAACTAAACCCTACATAATACTTATTGGCTCTCCTCCGAATAACGGTAACAAATGATCTACGCAGAAAGTGAACCCTAACAGGGCCTCATAATGTCCTACCCTACAAAGATTTAAAAGTTGTAGTTCGGAAAATATCAGGAACGAAAAGTATAAAGAAAAGGGCGAAGTCTACTACTTACCGACAGTTAAATCCTTTATATGTGAAAATTGTGGCACAGAAGTTGCAAACAGTGACTGAATATCTGTTCTTTCTGGCTGTCTGCCATTCCAACAGGGCACGACTTGTCCGCGATTCTCGTTCCGGGCGAGACATAATCAATAATGTGCGTTATAATGTACGCGCATGTCGCCTCAGGACAACTTCAAACCAGCAGTTGCCTCGGGGCAACTTCAAACCAGCAGTTGCCTCGGGGCAACTTCAAACCAGCAGCCGCCACTATGGCGCTCCACTATCCCGACCACCCCTTGACCGTGGCGAATGCGACCACGCTGCCAGTTGCGACGGAAGAAGTAGCTCATGACTGTTTTCCTGCGACTATAGTGCCACCTCCAAGAGTATACCTCTCCCGCTACGCGCGGCGATACTCTCAGAGGTGGCACTATAGTCGGCGAAAAGTGGTCCGCAACTTACATATAACTGTTGCCCTGCCGCAGGATAGCGCTATCGGGAGTATTCTTGCATGTCGCTAATTTTTTGTTTGTAGTTAATCCTAGTTTTGCCGCCGTTTAATCGTCGTAAAAAAGTCCGTTGCGTTTCACAAAAATGTCGTGCGTAATTAATCCTACTTTTGACGCGGTTGATTCGCCGCAAAAGAAATGTGATTTTTATATATGTGTGAGGCTCTGTTAGGGTTTACTTTTTGCGTAGATCATTTGGGACCGTTATTCAGAGAAGAGCCTACTTATTATTCTCTTCTGTGGCTGTATACTGTAAGCTTTTGGCACTCTTCCGAATAATGGCCCCTTATTATTGACTGTCCAAAACATTCCTTTCAGAGCCTCACGGGGTTCAAGGGGTTACAAAGAGGTCAAGGGGTTATAAAGAGGTTATACAAAATATGTATATCGCAGCCTAGTTGTTAACCACAACACAACGTGCAAACCACCCTTTTGAAGAAAAAAAAAGAAAAATGTTTTTGCCCGCTGGAGAATCGAACACCGATCACCGGTGTACCAAGCAGACAGCTTATCAACTATACTAGCGAAGACTCAGTAATTACATAACCTCTCAAGTCCCTAACTACGACCTCTTGAGGCCCTGAATGGGATTTTTTGTCTTTGAATAAAAAGGGACAGGTATTCGGAAGAGTGCCTAAGCTTTTTGCTATATCATCTACGTTTATATTATATATCGTATGTTGTCAGGGTACTAAGTGAAGTGTTGTTCTGTGTACACAACACAACACAGCATTGAATTTGAAACAACTGAACTCATGACTATGAATACTTACAAGAATTGCTTTGTCCTGTTCAGTAACTCTGGAAACTTTCTTTTTACTTGCAAACAGATTTCCCATTTCCTACTGTCAGTGAGTCAGAACATGTGAGTGTTGTCTCTCGTCAGCGGGCACCGACTTGGACATGGGGGCCTAGGGTAGGGTGGTAATTTAGTTCACAAGTTCCCCTTACAACTATCTCACAACCCGGAAGTTATTGTTTGTTTGGTCGGGGTCATAATGGCGTCATGAAAGGGAGATCATCATCATCGTCATCACAAACCATTTCCGCCTTGCTTGGGAAGAAATAATTTGCTATCCAGCGCGCGCTGCCTGCCACTAACTGTTGTCATGCAGTGAAGGCGTAGAGTTCTAATGTTATCGATTCATGTTTTCCGCTGCCGTCCTCTTGCTCTTGTAGCTGATTTTATGAGATGTAGTAGTGCATGTAATGGTATTTGATCTTGCGCCATTCTAGCGAGATGGCCAAACCACTTGATCTGCTGTTTCTCGATGAATCTAGTACAAGGTGTCGTTCCCACAGTTTTTCTGACAGTATCAGAGACCTGTGTACAAGTAAGAAGTACTGCAAGGGGAAGCGTCGCAGGCGAGATGATTTTTGAGCATCAAAACTGGGATGTTTTTGTTTTTCTTCGTTCGTTAGCGGTGTTTCCCCCTGAGAGAAAGAAAGCACTTACAAGAAACGTAGGAATAGAAAAATATCAATGTGTCCATAGTCCAGAACCGTCGCGCTGGTAGCAGAACGTGAAAATAATCACGCAAGCGAGCGGCGAGAAGAGGAGAAAACTGGAAACGGTTAAGGCGTTGACAATAAGAAAAATATGACACGTCCTCCACATAGGATAGGTCCTGTAACCCGACGAGATATGAATGGAAAGGGATGTCACTCTCTTTCTGGACCCAAAATCTTCAAATGAACTGTCTCGCTTAAACACTCGGGTAACGCGTTTAAAATAAGCGATGTTGACAAAATGTGGAGAAGTGAGATAATAGATATGCGTCCCACCTACTGATTCATTGGAATTGATCTACTTATCTCCCTTAGCTTATCATATGCGACTGACTGACTTTCTACCCCACCAGGACATCACACAAGCGATAACCACCCGATGACACACAGTGCCACTCACGTGGATGAGGATCACCATGGAGTGGTCCCAGAAATCGCGTTCAGCCTTTAGACCATATTTATGGCCAGGCTATATTGCGGCCCCTGGCAAGAGCCAGAGTAGGGCTTCAAATAACGAAAAATTTCATCTTAAAATGGATGAAGGATATAATGGTGTACTATCATTATCATGTGCGATTCTGCTGGGCATTTTATTCACTTTTATCTGCGCATAAAGCAGTTATTTTGTATGTGTGTGCTTTATTTTATATTAAATAATTATTATCATAACTTTTTAAGTTTGTTAAAGATTCACGAATCAAGGGCATCAACACAAAGAGACTAAGTCATAGAGAATAACACCCTGTACAATTAAATCGATTCTGTCCACTTTTAAATTTTACATGTACTGGAAATCGTCTATGTATAAAATGTCCTGCCTATTTTCTTAACAGGAAAAAATTTGGCAAATAGCCATGCAGGAAAAAACACTAGATGCGAATTTTAATGTAGTGTTCTCGCCAATCAATGAATTATATCAACTGAATACCCACATTCATAATGTGAAAAGATTCCAGGTGATTGCAATCAAGCGCACATTTTCCCAGCGTGTGCACAGACATGTGTTTGACACGTGAGCAGACATTAGAACACTTTCTGCGGGCGCTGGTATTCTTGTTATCGACATGCTAGCACCAATCAACGCTACTGTGTTATTCTGCACAACTGTATTTATCACAGATCAATGGTGGAGAAATGAGGAATAAAACTTACCAGCTGTGAAAAGCTCCTGTAATACATTCACAGGTTGTAAATGGCTGTTATAGAAGTCAAGGAAAGACACAAGATATCAGTCAGTATACCAAAGAATATTTTTTTTAGCTTCCTCCTCTTTAATTTCCTTCTTCATCTTCATCATCTCATCCTCTTTATTATCATCTTTCTCGTCATCCTCCTCCCATTCTTCTTCTTCTTCTTCTTCTTCTTCTTCTTCTTCTTCTTCTTCTTCTTCTTCTTCTTCTTCTTCTTCTTCTTCTTCTTCTTCTTTTTCTTCTACTTCTTCTTCTCCTCCTCCGCCTCCTCCTCCCCCTTCTTCTTATATTTATTCCTTCTTCTTCTGCTGATGCTGCTCCACCTTCCCATTATCATCTTCTTCTGCTTCTTCTTCTTTTTCTTATTATTATTTTTCTTTTTCTTCCCCTCCTCCTCCTCTTCATCTTTCCGCACTTAGTTGGTCCATGCCTTTCGGGTAGAAGCACGGCGGCGACTTTCAAAGAAAATGTGACCCTGTCACTGTTGGCCAGACTCCTGGTCGGGAAAATGTTTCTAGGGTGACCACCGACTGGTGTAGACAGGTCTTGGCCTGTTTGTGCCCTGGGTCTAGTGCATCACCAGGTGTTGTTCGGCTTCTCAGCATCCTAAGATAATATTTACATTTCCTGGCAACGAAAGGGTGTACATTTTTCGTGTCTCCATGAACAGACAATTATCCTGTTTACATATTGTCGCTGCGGCGTTCGTGGCTTAGGCGTTGGGAAACCGACTTGTAATTCCAATGTACAGCGATAGAAACCCACTGCTGGCTGCGTAGATTTTTATCGTGGTATGGGGCGTCGCAGGTCGACCCAGTTTAAAATGGTTGCCAGGATGTATGTCCCTGGGAAGTAAAGGCGGCCGGCGTCCCACCTAGTGCCGATTGGTCTGTGAAAATATGGGTGCTCTTCCCATATGCCTGATGCGCCTAGAAAGCGTGAGGGATCTTTACTTTTATTTACATATTGTCGCTGCGGAGTTAACTTTGAGTGCTTTTCGTCTGTTCCCAACTTGGCTGGTGTTGTGAACTGCAGATTCAGAAAATGACTAGTGGCCTTTTGCCACAGAACTGGTGATACCTTCTGCGATTAATTGCGTGTGCAGCTACTAATTTACCGATTTGTTGTAGCTGATCCTTCCATTGAAACACAGGATAAATTGTTCGCAAGACCACAGGAGCAGGCTTGTCCAATATACAGGATAAATACAGTTAAAACCGAAGTCACTGAGTCATTATAATTCCTAGGCTGGAACACGCACACAAACACACACACACAAACACACACACACACACACACACAACACATGCACACACAACTGAAAGGAAATTTTGCATTAGCAAGTACGAGCACCTTAATATCTAGGAACTATATTCATGTATGTATTTTCAGTACTGATAATACACCATTGTCGAACTGGTCCCTGTCCTGGTTATCTCAGTAACGATGTCATTTGGTACGTAAGTGCATGGGTCGTTTTAAGGATGGAATGTGTCTTATCACCACTGCTGTTTATCACCTGCGTCGACAGTAAATGCACACATGTCAAGCCCATGAAAGAAAATATTACTAACATAAAAGAATCATCCTTTGTTGGTAACCAGACATTGGTAGCAGATGCAGCCATAAAATTGTAACACTATCTCACAGCTTTGAATGAAGAATGTGAAACAAATACAGGGAGAAACAACACTGAAAAGATAAAAGCAATGTCAGTCAGCAGGGAGAAAGAAGCAGAATCTAAATATAGCAGTAGAGCGAAGCAGCCTTAAATAGGCAAATAAGTGTACATATCTGGGAACAACGTTCACCGAAGATGATAAATTAGACGAGGGATTTAACTACAGATGCAGCAAAGCAAACCAGGTATTGGGTCAGCTAGCTAGCCTTTTACAACACAAGATAATCACTGTCGGCACAAAGACAAATACAGAAAAATTAGCAGCCCTGGAAATGAGGTGTCTGAGATGGGCTGCATGACTCATCAGAAGAGGTGCAATCAGAAATGAGGTCATAAGAGATCAAGTCGGCATAGAACAATTTCTGAATTACATGCAAAGACAGCAAATCATGGTTTGTCGGCCCACTTAGAGAGAATGTCCTGTGACGTCACACCATATAAGGCATACACGAAAAAATGAGAAGGGCGTAGATCTCGAGGCTGAACGAGAACAATATGGAAAGATAACTAGAGAAACTACAACAACGCTATGTGAATATGGTCGAAAATCAAGCTCTACTGTAATTGAAACTTGCGGGGATACTGGCACCTTGTTGAACACTTTGTGTTGAGTATCAGCACCTTCTTTTCATTTAGACCCCTTGGGGAGGGGGGGGGGGAACCTGCACCAAGTTAAATGAGGGAGGGGGGGGGGGAGGTTTGAGGTGCCTACGCCTCTAGATCTCAACGCCTCTGGTATACTATAGGTCTGTCACATAATGGTTCGATAAAATATATCGTTATTGGACAGGTTATCCTCACTGCATATCAAACAGTTCAGTCCATAAGTGCTCATATCCTCTCCTCAGTAATTCCCACAGCGTGCAGCAGCTGATGACACAAATTCTTCTTTGGCCAGACCCCTTTTGACTGTTCGGGCTGTTCTTTCAGTCTGGTCACAGTTGCAGATTCACAATCATCACTTGGTTCTCGCAAACGTTTGACTTTTCATAGAACATTGACTACTTGAGCATGACCTATGGCACGTCCGATCACCACTGTAGCTTTACCTGCAAGCCTATCAGCTTGCTCATCTCCTTGCACGCCTGTGTGCCCTGACACAAATATAAAACTGATATGCGTCAGCCCCGACTGCATCAGAGACTCTAACTACGGTCTTAGGGAAATAAAAACATATGACTTTCATGAACGCTAATCTACACACACTGGAATGATCTACAACACAGAAGTACACGGACTTTAAGGCACGCACTGCAAACAGAACAGATCTAGGAATTAGTGGTCCCTTCTCTATGACTACCAACATCATGGCGACAGGCGTGATGGATTTCCTATGGCTGGGACCAGAGAGCTGTTTCCAAGTGTGTATACTGAGTTACTTCGTTGAGTATGATCTAACCTTGACAAGGCTAGATGCGTACGTAGGCAATGGTTTGTGTCACTGCAAAGGTCTGGGATG